GGCCAACCCTTTTTTTTTGGGGGGGGGGGGATCTCACCTTAACAGCTTTCCTCCACTACAACCTGGTCTCTACAGTCCTCTTCCCCTTTTGCTATAGCTTTTCACTTTTGGGGCTCCCAATAGCCCTGCTCCCTGGCCAAGCGCAAAGCAGAGCTTTGAGAGAACTTAAATCCTATTAGCACGTCAGTGTTGCTGGGGAATTTGCTGCTAAATTCCCAACACCCTAAAGTGTGTGGAATAGCTAGCAATGCTTCATAGTCACCCAATGAGAAAAATTCCTGAAACCACTGAGAAGATAACTAGTCACCTACCTAGGTGCTTAAGTACTCAATCCACAACTAGAAAACTTGGGATCTCCTTTCACACAAATAAATTAGTACTTTCTGGTTTCAGATGGACAGGGTAAGGGTTCACATCTCAGTAGTAGGGCACTGCCCAGCATGCACAATCCCCAACACCACATGCACACAAAATTGCATGCTACCTAGATGGACAGCCAAGATGTTCCAAATACAAAATGAGAATTTTTTCACCTGAAAAAGAGAGCGTGTTGCTTTGTTTTGTTGTGGCACTGGGAATTGAACATAGGACCTTCACATTGAACTACACTGTAATCCTTTTTAAATGTCATTTTGTGAATCTCACAGTCACTAAATTGCCCAGGATGGGCTCAAATTTGTGATCTTTATGCCTCAGCCTCCACAAAGCAGTGAGATTACAGGTACATGCCACAAGAAGTGACTGAAAGTTTTTCTAGTCCTCAGAAATATGCTTAAAGTCAGAAATCATGAGAAAAACTCATAACATACAAGGAGACTATTAGTCATGAGGTTTAATCTTTTTTTTCTTGTTTTTGAGCCAGGGTAGCCCAGGCTGGCCTTGAACTCCTGGTAATCTTTCTGCCTTAGCCTTCTGAGTGCTGGGGATTACAGTTGTATGCCACCACACCCAAGTTAACAGATCTGATGAATTTAAGTACAACTGCCTTCCTAGATAAATCCAACTTTTTTTTTTTTTTTTTTTTTTTTTTTTTTTGTCTTTTTAAGACAAGGTCTCACTATGCAATTCAGTCTGGCCTTGAGCTTATTTTCTAGTCCAAACTAGTCTCAAACTTGCAATAATCCTCCTGCCTCAGCCTCCGGAGTGCACGCAAGCACCACTACATCCTGCTCATTTTGATTTCCTAGGGAGGGGAGTAGGAAAAACTCATCTGGCTTGAATTATAGGTATTCTTTGCTGGCAGTTATCTAGGCTTCTCTGCATAGATGCTTTCAGGATAGTATGGAAGATTGCATGTGTTCTGTATAGCAATCACGTATATATATTTAGTACAGGGTCTCACTACACAGATCGGAATCATAGTGATCCTCCTGTTTTAAGCGCTTGGGATTACAGGAATCATGGACACTTAACATTCATAATAACATACTAATGAAACAGGCCAGGCATGGTGGCACATGCCTGTAATCCCAGCATTTATGGCTGAGGCAAGAGAATCACCTCAAATTCAAGGCCAGCCTGGGCTACAAAGTGAGGTCAAGGGCGAAAGGAAATAGGAAATGAAGAAAAAGAACCCAGAGATTTTGGTTTCTCGGGTCTGCTCTTATCTCGGACAAATCCATTCCTCTTCATATCTGATTTCCATGTTTCAGGACAGTGTGTATGACTCAAACAGCTCACACAAGGTCCACATTACCAACAGCAGCCAGGGTCGAACTAGGAAATGCATGCTTTGGGGTGTCTTTGGGGCACTTCTACAGAAACCCTGAACCCACAGTGGGTGCCTTCAGTCCCGCGCAGACGGTTGAGTTGGAAGGGTCCCGGGAGTGTCAGTTAATGTGGAGAACTTGGGCTAGGAAGTCTGTTTCCTATTCCGCTTGAGTTCGGGGCCTCTTCTCCGATCACGTTCACCTGCTTCTGCCGTTTCAGCCTCTTATAAACTAAGCTAACAACTCTGGACTACCCTAAAGTAGCAACTCGGTTCCAAACATTCTCGCCAGCACCCGGCATGGCCGAGGCCCACTGCCCACTCAGGCGGCGGGACGCGCTCCCGCGACGGAGCGGCTGCAGCAGGGGCCGGGGCCACGCGCGCTACGGGGGTACACGAAGCGCAGCTGCCCGCAGGGCCCCGCGTCGCCCAGCTCCCTAACTGACCCGCGAGGGCGGCCACACCCGGCGGCCGGTATCAGGCCGCAGGACCGCGCCACACAGCTGTGTGCAGCCGGAAGAGGCCGCCGGCCTAGCCCGCCCGCCCCGCGGCGCCGTCCTCTCACGGCGAGCTTCCTGTCTGGGCTCTTTCCACGAGGCGCTGCAGCCGCCCAGCCCCCGCCGCGCCCGAACCGCGCGGGGCCCGCAGAGGCGCGGCGCCGCACACCCCAGCAGGCCGGACACGGTCAACGCCCGCTCCCCTCCCACCCGGGCCCTTTGGCAGCCCAGACGCGGTGCGAGGCGGGAGCGGCCACCTCGACGTGTCTTTGTGTTTGTATACACCGCAAGGGGCTGCTGGGAGGGGAGCTAGGCGAAGCGCCGAGGAGGGGCGAGCGCGCGCCAGCGAACCGGCGCGGGCGGGGGGAAGGGGCGGAGCGGGGAGCGAGCGCCGGGCCGGGGGCGGAGCCGAGCCTTCCCTCCATTGTGTGTGATTGGCTGGCGTGCGGCGCGGGGGCGGAGTGCGTGTGTTGGGGGCTAGCCTCGGTGTCAGCCATCTTTCAATTGTGTTCGCAGCCGCCGCCGAGCTGCCGTCGCCGTCTAACTCCAGCGCCGCCTCTCGCTCGCCGAGCTCCAGCCAAAGGAGAAGGGGGGTAAGTTTCCCCGTCGGCCCACTTCCCCACAACCGATTCCCGCTTGCCGCCAGCCCCGTGCGGACCCAGGCGGTGCGGGAACGGGTCCCACAGCCTGTCTGGCATGGTCCACAAACTTTTTGGCCCAGAAACGGAGGTGAAGAACGAGTTCTCCCCGCCGCCGGCGGTGGCGGCAGCGGCGGCGGCAGCTTCTTCCCGGCTCTGCGCCTCATCCTATAGTTCCTCCGCCGCGGCGCTTAGCCTGGGCTCCCTCCGCCTCTGGGTCTGCTCTTTCTTCAACAAAAGCCCGCCCGCCGTCCCCTTCTCGGATCCTAGACCCTCACCAGGACCCGCGGGGCTCTTGGGCCGTGGCATCCCGGGCCAAGCCGCAGTTTTCGGGCGGGAAAGGGGTGGAAATCGCCACCACTTCCCAGCCTGGGGTAATTCGCGTTTTGCTGCCTCTCCACAGTTGTTGCTGAGCTTCACCATCTTGTCTCTCTTCTCTGGTCACCGACCATATTTTTCCCGTTTCTCTCTTCCACATTTAAAAAAGAGAGGTAATTTTTTTTTTTTAAGAATAACATTTTCCTCATTTTTTTGAGAAACCGAAACTTGATTCATTTGAAATGCAAAAGAAAAAACTTGCATTTGGGAACTGGCACGTGGCAGGGGATCGGGTATTTTCGAGCTATTTGTTGTTTTGTCCCTGGAAGGGAACCGGATCCGTTTCGCGATTGTTTCCATTTTGCTCGGGCTGGGGCGGCGGTAGTGCCCGCTCGAAGCGGTAGGGAGCCCAGGCCGGGACCTCGGAGACCGAACCAAAAGTTTACGCGGGGCCCGGGTGGACCGGACGGCTGGTGTCGCGTTAATTAAACCTGGGTGCGGGGCAGTTTATTGCTTTGCGAAGACTGTGAGGGCTGGACGCAGCACTGTGCTTTGTAGAAAGCTCATCAGGGTAGCTGTTCCTGTTTTTCGGGACTTCTTTTTCTTTTTCTTTTTTTTTTTTTCTTGGTCAATACAACTGAAAATACGAAACCAAGAATGTTTTCAGATATTTAGGTGAATGTATCAACTGCCAGGCGCTAGGGGGGCGACCAATCGGAAACCTTTTTTGCTGTAATTTGACTCGACCTTTCGTTCTTTTGATTTATGGATCGAATGTTTACAGATATTTCTAATTTTTGCTTTAATTAAAGCGGATCGAAGGGTATTAGGGACCTTTTTTCCATGTTGCTCAGAAATCGGTTTTTTGAGATACAATCAGTATTTTCAAGGAGTCACATTTGTTACAAGGAGTCATATTTGGATGGTAAACTAGAGCTGCACCCTTTCGAATTATATAACATTACGGACTTTATTTGTATACAGGGCATAGTTTCCAGGTGGGGGGGGTTTAAGGCAGGAAAACCCAAATGTTCAGTAGTTGCTTATGGTGATTTGTTTTTCTTTTTTAATGCTGATACCTCAGTAAGGAGGTCCCAGTACCATGGCTCGTACCAAGCAGACTGCCCGTAAATCCACCGGTGGTAAAGCGCCCAGGAAACAATTGGCTACAAAAGCCGCTCGTAAGAGTGCGCCCTCTACTGGAGGGGTGAAGAAACCTCATCGTTACAGGTATTGAAAAGGAAAAAAATAGGATAAAGTTTGTCCATGAGTATTCATTCGTTCTGACAAAAAGATAGCAGTTGCAAAGTTTTTGGCTTAGGGAAGCTGTTTCCCCTTTGACTATTTCAGCTGGATATTTAGATTGGAAACATTTAATTTTGAGTCCATAATCTGACCTAGAGGCTTATGAAGACTTAAAATCACTGATATTAATGGAGTATGTAAGCATTTTGTTAGTACATTTTTAATATTAAAGTTCTTTACACTTTTTGTGATATCTTTCCTTGCTTACAGTAAAATAATAGCCAGGATCAGGAGATAATAAAAATCCCCATCTTTCATTTACTTTTTTTTAAAAACACATTTTTGACCTAAGCAGTGTTATTAAGGACATCTGCCATTAGAGGGCAGAAGTTGTCCATACTCAGGTGAACTACAAATTGCTGTTAACTTGAAATAAAAGCTCATACAGTAAAACAAGTCAAGCTTAAAGGTAAATTCTTTGTAGGCAATTAGTAAAAAAAAGAAAGGTGGGGAAGTTCAAATTCAGTCATTCATGAAAGATGGTCAACAGTGCAAGCATCCTGGAAAAGATGCTAGCCATGTTTTAAGTGGAGCATATTGTGTTACATTGGCAGGTCTAAGGGCAGACAGGGCTTTGATAAGGTCCCTGTCATTTCTTGCCTTTTTTTTTTTCCCTCCCCCCAACCCCATTGTTGGGTATTGAACCCAAGGCTGTTACCCCTAGCCCTTTTTAATTTATTTTTACTTTTTTCGTGACAGTCTCAGTATTAGCCTAGTTTGGTTTTGAACTCATGTGCCCGGGCTGGCCTTGAACTGAGCAGTAATCCTACTGTCTCTGCCTTCTGACTGCTGGGGATCATAGGTACTTGCCAAATTGCCCGGAGTGAACTCAAACTTTGAATCCTCCTGCCTCAGCTTCTCAGTGCTGGGATTACAGAGGTATGCAGCCATGTCCAGCTTAGAATTACACTTTTTGTGATTTTGAGACAGGGTCTCTGCAAATTAGGCTGGTCTCAACTCGATCCTCATAGTTTAGCAAGTGCTGGGATTACAGACTTGTACCACCACACCTGGCTTTTGTTATTACTCTTAATAGACTGGAGCTGGGTGTGGTGGCCCACACCTGTAATCTCAGCACTTCAGAGGCTGAGAGTTTGGGGCCAGTCGGGACCAGTCTAAAAACAAAAATAGACTTGAAAGTTCAGGTCTCAAATTTATCAGATTTGTTACTGAAGCTGACAAATAGTGGAATGGCTTACTTTTTGAAATATTAATGCATACCTTTGAAAGGAATGAACCCTTTTGTGTTACATGTGTATCTGGTAAGTTTCTTTTAATGTTTTTGTTTTTTTAAGGCCTGGGACTGTGGCACTCCGTGAAATTAGACGTTATCAGAAGTCCACTGAACTTCTGATTCGCAAACTTCCTTTCCAGCGTCTGGTTCGAGAAATTGCTCAGGACTTCAAAACAGATCTGCGCTTCCAGAGCGCAGCTATTGGTGCTTTGCAGGTAAGATGAAGAAGATAGGGTTTTTGTTGTAGGACTATGTACCAAGAACAATTTGAAATCTCTGTGCATAGACAATCAATCTTGAAAACTGGTTGAATCACTGGTGAGGAGACTTCAGAAAGGTCAAGTTATTCAATACACATAGAAAATGCCACAGGTAACCTGGGTGTTGTGGCACCTACCTATAGTCCAAGCACTTGGCTGAAGCAGGAAGATCACTTGAATTCTAGGCCAGCCTGAACTATAGCGAGACCCTGCCTCAAAAAGATTTTAAAAAAAGAAGAAATGGACCTATTGTACTTTAAAGCTATTTTAAAATTTTAAACATTGCATTAAAAACAATGTTCAGCGCGGGAGGGTAGGGATGTTCCTGCCTGGCAAGCATGAGGCCCTAAATTCAATTCCCAGTGCCAAATTTAAATACACACAGTACTTAAATAAAAACAGAAAATGCTGGCTTCTATACATTGTGGGGCATTAGGTGTAAGGACTAGAGGTGTATACATTTTGGCCTTAGTTTCAAACTTGGACTAGTATAAAAGGACTGCTTGAATGTCCTGGAGCTGAGAAGACACAGGTGTAGAGAGCTTAATAGGTAGATGGAACAGGCAGCAATAAGAAATTGTGCATCAGTTACTGGGCATAGTGGCATACATACGTGATCTGAGTGCTGGAAGGCTGAGGCAGGAGGACCTTGAGTTCAAAGTCAAAGGGCGTTAGGTGTAAAGTCAGCTGCGTAGGAAAATCTTGTCTTCCCAAAACAAGCATATGAAGAAAAAGCAGTGATTAATTATGGTTAGGTTTGATTGATAGGAATTAAAGGAGATTTGAAGCTTGCTAGGGGGTTATAAGTTTCCAGTTAAATGGGGAACATACTGAATTTAACCTTAGCTCCAGAGTGGCAGGACTTGTGGGAGATTATGCTGTACATGGCTACGTAAAACAAGTAAAATAAGACTGGGCATGGTGGCACACACCTGTAATCTCAATGCTGGGGAGGCTGAAGAAAGGATCACCACAAGTCCTAGCTGTAGTGAGATCCTTTGTGAGATACATTTAAAAAAGAAAAATTTTTTTTTTTTTTTTTTTTGACAAAAACCCATATGTGAGGTATAATGGACATCAGTTACCTAAGTAACCTATTTTATTCTATCTGGTTGGCATTGTTTAGATCGCTTATCTCAAAATAAGGTAGGACCATGAGCTCCTTTAGAAACCTGAGGGTAATTAAAAGCACAGAGTACTTGGTGCCATTGTAGACCTAAATCAAAATCTGGGAGGATGATCTAGAACACTGGTGGCGAGCCTATGACACACGTTATTTCAAGACAAAAGATATTAATGTATAGGTTTTTTTCTAGACTAAAATCTGAATATTCAGGTTTAATTGCAGTGTTGGCATTTCACAGTAAGTGATTTGGGGATTGCATTTTGGGCACTTCTCTCCAGAAGGTTCACTGTCACTGGTTTAGAATCTACATATACTCTATTGGAGGATTTTCAAGGCTGCTGTTGCTGTGCCTGGGTTTTGCATTATATGTGAGAAAGATATGATAGGTGGATTCTACCCTGAAATGTCATTGGCTAAGCTGTTTCTATGGTTAGTCTAAACTTCATTTGATTGGTGAATTCCAGGAATAGGCATCCATTAAATAGTCAGTAGGTGGAAATTTCAACTACTAAAATCTTCCCCTGGGTTACTTAGAACTTTTTTTGTTTTAATAGCTGGTAATCTCCATTTCCTGTTTCATTTATTACTAAATCAGAAACATTACTAAGATTCTCTAGAATAGGGTAAAACTGCTCATTTTGTTTGCTAGTTATTAGCAAAACTACTTAAAGAGCAAAGCACTGCACTTGGAAGTCCAGGACTTTGGAGTTTAGGTGTCAGTTACAGACTTATAAATTTAGGTTTCTAAATATTCTGGATAAAAGATCCATCTTTTTAAAATTTGTTGCTGTTTGGTTATGCTTGTCGAAAAAGTGTAAGTGCTTAACTTGTTTATATTGGAAAGAGTTAATTGTTACAAGCCTTTTTTTTATTAGTACACTTTATTTTGTAAAGCTTATTTTTTTAAGCACTTCTGAGATAATAGAGTAACTTGCTGATGGAAGCAGATAATAAAAAATAGCATTTGAAATTTACTCCGAGCTTTAGAATTACACAATTCATAACTTAACTCTCTTTTTTTCTTTTTTTTTAGTGGACCCTGGGATTGAACTCAGGTCCTTGCACTTGTGAGGCAAGCACTTGCTCTCCTGAGCCATCTCCCCAGCCCCCATAGCTTTGTAAATGTACTACCCTTTGGCTTGTGGAGAATACGTTCTGTGAAACCACAAATAGTACGAAATCCTGTATTTACAATGCATTTTCCTATATTTTCCACAAAATGGTGGTAAACTTAATAAATTAAGCACAGTAAAATGTGACAATAACTAATGATAAAATGAAACAATTATAACAATATATTGTTAGAGAAAGTTATTTAAAATTTATATTTGGGGATCTGAGAGCCCAGGGTCTCACTGCATAGCCCAGGCTGACCTTGAACTCATGGCACTCCTGCCTCATTCAAGTGCTGGGATTATAGTAACACATCTCCACACCTGCAGTGTATTTCTGGAATTTTCTAGTTTTTAAGACCATGGTTGACTGGAAAGTAAAACCATGGGCAAAGAGGACTACTGCACTAACAAAACTAAAAATTTTAGCCTTGGTCCAGGGAGATAACTCAGCGGTATAAGTGCAAGGTCCTGAGGTTGATCCCTTGCACCGCAAAAACAAAAACAAAAACAAAAAAATAGCTCTGACTTTTAATGTCTTGAGAGTTTAAAACACATTCATATTTTTTTTAATTGGTAATGTTTTGGAAGATAGTAAAGCCAGCCACCAAATACACAAAATATAGGGCCAGGGAGGTAGCTCAGTAGAATAATTACTTGCCTGACAAGCACAAGGTCCTGAGTTCAATCCCAGGTACTGGGGAAAAAAAAATACATATATAACCATATCTGGCAAGATGGCTCAGCAGACTAAGCGCTGCTTTACCAAGTGCAGGGACCAGGGTTTGATCACTGGCCCCGCCCCTGGGGCATGCTGAGCCGTTGACCACTGTCTGTGGTGGCACACACCTATAGTCCCAGCGCTGGGGAGGCTGAAAACTGGAGGATCACTATGAATCTGCATTGCATAGTCAGACCCTGTACCAAATACATAAAATTAAAAAATCTTTTTAAAAACACACAAAATACCACAAATTAACACTGTTTTGTAATTGAGAAATGTCTTATTTTAAAATTATATTGAGTCAAATTAATGTGGCAGTCTTTATAATGTACTTTGTATTAAAGTAATTTATTGTTTTGATGGAACCGGGGTTTGAACTCAGGCCCTTGCACTTGCCAGGGAAGCACTTACTCTACTGAGCCATCTCCCTGGCCCCTATAATGTGCTGTGTGTGTGTGTGTGTGTGTGTGTGTGTGTGTATGTGTATGTGTATGTATGTATAACTGGGAATCAAACTCAGGCCCTTGCACTTGCCAGGCAAGTGCTTACTATACTGAGCCATTTCCCCAGCCCCTATAATGTACTCCATAACCTTACTATATCTGGGTGAAAAGAGACTTAGGTGGAAGATCCCAAAGTTGAGAGGAGCCCCAGAAAGTGAAACCCTGGTGGGTTCAGAAATCTTGCAGAGCTGACCAGACAAAACCCATGCAAACTGACAGCCAGGTTAGGACAGTTGAGAGCCCAGCATCAGAGCAGTCAGCAGGTGATATGCTCTGAGTGATCTTGAATCTATGGCACATTTTGACTTTTTTTGAGATAGGATCTCATCGTGTAGCCAGCCTGGCTTCAACTTAAAGCAGTCATGCCTGGCTTTGCTTTTCATTAAAGTATTCTAGATGTATATAATCCTAAAATGCTGTGTTAACACATTCCTGATGGCTTGTGCCACTAGTGGTTCAGAGCCCCCAGCAGTGAGAGAATTACACACTGCTGTGTCACAAATGAATTAAGCACATTAACCTGATTTCTTCCTTCAGAGAATTGTGAGTCCTTCAGAGAGAGGCTGAGGCAGGAGGATCATTGCAAGTTCAAGACTAGCCTGGGCTACACAGCTCACAGCCAGCCTGAGCTCCTATGCTCATTCTCTCCCTCCCCCCTCCCTCTCCCTCTCTTTCCTTTCTCCCCCTCTCTCCACCATCCCCCACCCCCAGGGCTTGAAATCAGCCTTGCCAGGCAGGAGCTCATACCGCTGAGCTATTTCCCTGGCCCCTGGCCCCGAGACCCTGTCTCAAAACAAACAAAAAGAAAGGATGAATACGCTTCCCTGGCAAGTGCAAGGCCTGAGTTCAATCCCCAGTTGCACCAAAACAAAAAAAAGGATGAATAATTTTTTTAATGAAGGTGTTAGATATAAAAATAAAGCAGCAAATGTCAAATATCTGTGAGGACAGTGTATTGGGAGTATAAAATAAGTTCTCTGTTATTAAATAACTGGAAAGCAGTATAGTCACTTGAATCTCGAGTAATGAGTTGAGGGTTAAGTGTACTGAGAACACTGGCAAGAGGAATGCTCTTTCGCCTGTGGGGAATATAGTCTTGACTCCCAAATATATTTTGGAAAGAGAAACTTCCTTGTTGAGGAGAGAGCGCCAATTAACATCTCATTTAATGCTCCAAATCCAAATAAAGCAGTTGGGCTGGTAACTACTTAGAAAAACAATTTTATTTCAGTGAGTAAGCAGCCAGCCTTAGTGCTTCTTGTCTGTAATCTCAGTGCTTAGGAGACTGGGGCAGGAGGATCACTGTTGAGTGTGAGGCCATCCTGAACTACATAGCAAGACCCTGTTTCAAAAAAAAAACTCAAAGGAAGCAGATGTTTTAACTTACAATTTTCAACTTTTTAGACCACTAAAATTTACTAATCTGTACTTTAAATGGAACCTCTTCACATACCAAGCCTCCTTGGATGGCTCATTCCTAAAGCTAGCAGTTTTAAGTAGTACAGATAGTACCTTGAAAGAATTTTAGCAAGAAATGGGTGGAAAGAAAGTACTTAGTAGGAGACAGCACGTCTCCTAAACATAATAGATTGAAGTGTAAAGAGCCCAGGCTGGTATGCTGGGACCTAAAAAGTTTGTATCTTTAAGTGTTAGAAACCTAGTTTGAACTCTATGTGTGCTTCATCTGTTAGAAATAACACCACTAGTAAGTTTTCTTCTTGTTACAGGAGGCAAGTGAGGCCTATCTGGTTGGCCTGTTTGAAGATACCAACTTGTGTGCCATCCACGCCAAACGTGTAACAATTATGCCAAAAGATATCCAACTAGCACGCCGCATACGTGGAGAACGTGCTTAAGAGTCCACTATGGTGGGAAACATTTCATTCTCAAATTTTTTTTTCTTCTTCCTGTTATTGGTAGTTTTGAATGTTAGGTTTTTTGTTTTTTGTTTTTTTTCCGTGGGGTCAAAAGGTACCTAAGTACATGATTGCGAGTGGAAAATAGGGGACAGAAATCAGGTATTGGCAGTTTTTCCATTTTCATTTGTGTGTGAATTTTTATCTTCATGCGGGATGTAAAGCATTAATGCAAGTCAAAAATGTTTCAGTGAACAAGTTTCAGCACTTCAACTTTATAACAATTATAAATAAAAATCTGTTAAATTTTTCTGGAAAACGCCAGCATTTGGATTTTTTTAAAACGAGTAAATTTCTTATTGACAGCAACTAAATGGTGTTTGTAGCATTTTTATCATACAGTGGATTCCATCCAGTCACTATACTTTTCTAACTGAGTTGTCTTACATGCTAGTACATGTTTTTAATGTTGTCTGTCTTTCTGTGCTGTTCCTGTAAGTTTGCTATTAAAATACATTAAACTGTATCTGGTTTGGTCTTTATTAATCAGTCCTACCCATGAAAGTAATTCACTCTTAAGTTCTCATATTCAAAATCATTGTAGCATCAGTTTTGAACATGTCACCCTGTGTCACAGACGGTTGAGGAATGTGGAAAGAGGAAAAACTACTGGCTATATATATTTTTTAAACCTTGTAAATAGTAAACATTCGCTAACACCAGATCTTAACTGTGGGTAAATGTTGCCTCTGATTCCACTCAAACCTAGCAAGTTAACATTACTTGCAGATACTTTAAAAATGCTAAAAGCACATTCATTCATAACATGCAGTGTGCTGTTAAACTGTTCAGTGCTAACTAAATGAGGCTGAGGCAGGAGGATCTCTGCAAGTTCTAGGCAGCCTGAGCAGCATAGACCCTAAGCCAAAAAAAAGTGCATTGCTGACTGACTTTAAGATGTTAACATGTTTGTTCCAGCATTATTTATTATTAACCCTATTCTTAACTTTGTAATGATGAATGCCAAGTGAAGCTTAAGCCTTTTAAGTTCCATAAATACCTAATGTAGTGACATTAGTTGTAACATTTGTGTGTTTGAAACTTCCCTGAAGGACATGTAACTGCAGAGAACAAATTCATGTCAGTCCCAACATTTGGCTGTGTCACTGGTTTTAGCAATATTTCTCAGGTGAAGATTAATGGAATTTACTGCAGCTGCTTTTAGAGCCTGATTCTAATTTAACAGGCCATTCTAGTTTTTAGTGTCTTCGAATATACGTCTCCAAACAAGACCTGGTTACTACTTCAATTTCTAGGTAAGAGCATCTCATTCCGTGCTTGGTGTTTTCCTAGTGCACACCACTGAGTGCTGGAGGAAGTGATGCTGCCTGTTGGGCTTTGATGGGAACCAGTTGTGAGTTTTATTTTTTATTTTATTTTTTTCAGTTGTGAGTTTTAAAAAGTCCAATGGACAAAATGTTTTTCCTCACTCTGACTAAACAAATGTTCTTGTCCAGTCACAATGCTAGAAAGTGCACGTTTACCTCAGTTCTTCATAGATGGATATGCTACTCAACAAATGCACACAAGTGCCCAGTTTGTGCTGAGCTGTATCTGCATGCTATGGGCTCTTAATATTTAATTTGTTACCCTAAGTTATTTCTGAGAAGTTTTGAACTCATTCTTCAGAACTAATACACAGTTTTGAGACCTGTTTATTTGAGTATCAATGAAACCTACCTGCATGTTGAACTCCACCTAGGTTAATGCTTACTGTATCAGAGTTGATTCCCCCCCCCCCCAACCGGGGATTGAACTTAGGCCCTTGTGCTTGCCAGGCAAGCACTTATTCTACTGAGCCATCTCCCCGGCCCCCAGAGTTGATTTTTTTAAAATGCAGTGAGAGGTAGGATACAATACTGTGGGGATTACTCTAAAATGACCAAAGAAATAGCACCTTCTTAAAATTCTAGGGAAGTTTCCTAGTCTAAACATGAAAAACTTTAGAAAATTAAGTTGTAAAAGGAATTTTTAATAGGTAAGTTATGTTTTAGAGCCAGAGTTGGTACTGTGCACCTGTAATCCCTTCTTGGAAGGTTGAGAAAGAATTGCTGTGAGTTCAAGGCCAGCCTGAACTACATAGTAAGACCATGTCTATAAGAAATAATAAATTAGAGGAAATAAGTACTTCTAAAAAGGAATTTGGAAACCATTTCCTTAAATCTAATTGTGCTATTACAGAGCTTAGTCTCAAGTTTCTTAGCTAGAATGGCAGGAAATAAGTTCAAATTGAAAATGTATCAAGCCTGGTAAGCACTAAAAACAAGAGAGGTGTGCTCCAACTTAATTTCACACACCTACACCAATGAAGACATTTGTATGTGACAGATGGAATGGACACTGCCATTCCCAGGTAGGGAATTTGCTCTTGAGGTGGCTGTAGGGCTGTACTCATGATGTGTGCAATACAAGCTGTTAATGTAGCCAGTTACAAAGGTTTTGGTATTTGTTGAAGTAAGGGGAGGTACAAAATAAATTTAGGATTGAGGAAAAACCAGAAAAGACCAGAATACAGTCAAAAGCTTTGGGTCAAATAGTACCAAGATAGCCACAGAATAGAAATGGCACTCTGTCCCAAAGAGCTGTGTCCCAGTGAAACAAAGTTGTAAAATACATAAGTGCTGAAGAAAATGGGTAACAAGTGGGAGGAGAAAGTTCTGAGGAAAATGGAGCAGAGTATAGGTGTACCTCTATTCATCACTGACTGGCTCCAGGAGGCTCAGCATGCTCCTAGGCGAGCAAATGCCCCACCCACCGGCTCTTCCCTGGAGAGGGTAGTGAGTGCAGTAGTTGATACCCAAATTCCAGTGTATCAAATACCACTACCTGGGACAATTTCTGCATGAAGATGTTGAGCACTAAATTCAAAAGCAGTCAAGTACTGAGTTTTCCCGGGCCTGCTGGAGAGCCCACTGAGACACCTCAAGCATGTTCATGGGACAAGAGGGGCTGAGGAGAGGGAATTGGGAGTGGGGACCAGAGGCCAGGCCTGAACCCTGCAGGACAGCGAGAGGAAAACAAGCCTGTTTTGAGTTACACAGACCCTGCAGGTTGTGGCCAGTAATGAGTGGAAAGGTGAAGTGCAAAGAAAAACCAAGAGGAGCCCCACTGCCCAAGTGTGACCTCACGCAGTGCTGGGATGGGTAGTTGGGTGTGTACAACGGTGTACTGGATATACTTCTAATTTTATTTTTATTATCACCTGTTCACAACATACGATTACTTTAATCCTGGGGGGGGGGGCTGGTACATGTCCATAATACTTAACATTCTGGATGTTTTTAGAAGAGGATGTCTAGAACTTAATGGGTGTGGGCCTGAGAAAAAGTGGGTTTAATGGTGCCAGGTTTGAGGCCCAGCAGCTGCAGAAGTAAAGTTGCTTTTGCTTGGGATAGGAAAGGCAGAGAAGCTGCGGGCTGGGGGAAGGAGCTCAGCTGAGAGGTTCAGATGGCAAAGCTGAATTATTCTTCCTCACCGAGACTTCCAGTAGACTGTTAGAGGAGTCTGGAGTTTAGAAAAGAAATTTGGGCCAGAAACATAAATTGAGAAGTCATCAGACAGAGACATAATGTTTGTTTTGATACCGAGTATCACTATGCAGTCTAGGCTGGCCTCAACCTGCTGAGTGCTGGGATTACAGGTGTCTCCCAGCCTCTCCAAGCCAGCTCAAACAATCTTAAAGCCGAAAAGCTAGAGGTCAGTAAGAGACTGAGTCTAGCTAGGAATCAGGAGGGCTCAGGGCAGCCTCTCAGCTGGGGTGGGGTGAGGTCCAGCGCACACTGAGCAGCAGGACAAAAGCCATTGGCGGTGATGGGCATCCAGAAAAAGCACTGCCAGGGAGGAAGGACTGTAAAGTACTGCTGTTAGTGGGTGTGGTGCACTGAAGTCTTCTAGAGGTGGTTTCTTTCTGTCCTGAACAAAGAACTGGTCAAAACAAATGCAAAGAATAAGGTTTGACATTTATTAAAGATAGGGAAAGAAAAGGCCGCCCAAATAGCTCAGAGGATTAAAGCGTGGTGTTCGATCCCCAGCATGTGTGCTGGCTCTGCCCCCCGGGGCTCACTGAGACGGGTGATTGAGACTGGGCATGGTGGCCCGTGCCTGTAATCCCAGCTCTTGGGAGATGGAAAATAGGTAGATCCCTAGAAGTATGATCTATGTAGTGAGACCCTGTAGTCCCTATAGACCCTTACTAAAAAATAGAGAAAAAAAAAAGAAGCAGGCTTTGCTGAGCAAATTTGTACGAAGTGAAAGAAAGAAGTATGCTCTACAGGAGAGAGCAGGGGACAGTGATGACAGAACACAACAGCGAAACTACCTCACTGTGCTTTTTGGATCTCCTAGTCCTCCGGCTGATGGCAGGTTTGAGCCATCCTATAAGAACCTGCCATGGGCCTGGCACCACAACTGTACCCCCAGGCACACTGAGTGGGCCACCAAGACCCGGGTTGGCAGTGCACACCTGTAATCCCAGCTCTGGGGAGGCTGAGATAGGAGGATCACTACAAGTGCGAGCTGCATAGTGAGACTCTATACCAAATACATTAAAAAAATAATAACTTTCTACAGTTCTCCAGAGAGGTTAGTTCGCAAGGCTTTGGGAACTGCTCTGCACATGCGCCCAGGAATTTTGTAATTAACAGGTCAAATCTACTCGGGCTTTATCATGCCCTCATCAGCATTGCTTCTAATGAGTGAAGTCTTAAAAATCAATTACTGGTTTTTACAGCATATACATAATTGGTTCCCCCTTTATAGTTTTGGTGAAATAGAAGGTACAAAATGACTAGAGTGAATTTCAAGAAACATTGGGGCTTTCATTAAATGTTCAAACTTAACATCAAGCATGAGACAGTGACATACCAAGGGAACAGCATTACCAAATGTTTAACCTGAAACTGATAAAGAAATCTGAGGGCCGGGAGATGGCTCAGTGAATAAGCACTTCCCTGGCAAGCACAAGGGCCTGAGTTCAATCCCCTGTTCCGCAAAAAAAAGAAAAAAAATCTGAAGTGTAAGACACTCAACTACAC